TCAGTGATTGAAAACACGTAAGTGTTGGCATGATAGCGTCACGAGTAAATCTCAACTATCGGTTGATCACAACCTCTGCCGAAGAGCGATCGCCCAGAGATTGTGGGTTAAGGGTTGCTTTCCAGATTGCGTCAATATGGGACGGGTCGAGTCGACGGCCATTTCATCGAAAACAAAAACGAAAGTATCCCGCAGATCTCCAGAGGATTTCACATTTTTACTTCTTTAACTGGGACCCGTAGTCATTTGTCCGCTGAAGGACACTGTCCAATCGAAAAAAGATATATCTAGTGGCCCCACGAAAATTATAGCTCCAAGATATGGGGCACATCAGATCACACATCACAACTTTGCGTTTTATGGAGGGACCGGGGGCCAAGAAACAAAAGTAAATTATTCTTCCTTGGATTCCTGTTTGAGACAAGCCTGAAGAGCATCACAGCGTACCGGGTAAGGTTCGCAACAGTCGACGTGATATGACACACGATCCGTTGTACATCAGTGGTCACTGTTTTTAGTCTGCTGGTCACAGAGCACACAAAAGTCCTAGTTTGTGGCCATAGACCGCCCACTAGGTTGCGGTGCAACATCCTCAACCACCGACGTTAGGCCGTAAGTTGCAGACGTTAAGCCTTGACGCAGCAGGATTTACCCTGAACAATCAGCTGCTTAGTCGCTTGAAAACGAGTGTAGGGGACACATCACGATAGTTCTTCTGATATGAAAATAGCACAGCATTGCGAAGCAGCCGAACACCACTTTTGCCATCCGCATTAGCGCTGCTAACTTGACCATAACGAACGTCTTAAATGGCTAATTCTCCCGTCTTTTAAGTGAATAAGTCGAACAGTGCACGAATGGGAGCAAACTGCTTGCTCTCCACGAACGCATACATAAACGGACGCTCGGTTCTCATTTCTTCCATCATCAAGAAGGTGTTCAGCTTTTATCTAGGGATAGAATATTATGCGCTTTGAAAAACTTCCCCAAAACTGCTTTTTGCGGGCGTTCCGTCTACATTGACTACACCGGGGAAGGTCGGAACAACAATATCAGCTGCCATCGGGGGAAGCATATATAACTACAGTGACCTCTTTCTGACTGTCACACAAACATGCAGTTGGTCTTCTGAAGTTTTGACTGGACCGGAAGCATATCATCATCCGCCTCAATAAAACCCAACTATGCGGCACCTTAAAAGAGCAGGTTCACACTGCCGCCGATAGTTGTCTGTATTCTGAACTGTAAGTATTTAACCGAACTCATCACCACATATTGCCGCAACTAACACGATGGCGTCTCACAGTCCAGAAGGGCCCCCGCAAGTTCCCGGCTGGTCTTCGGTTAGCCGTCAATTACCGAAAGCCAATCGTACAAATACTTTGACGAATTATGCCTGTTTTCAAGGAAATAATAGGTTAATTTGCCCTCGCAGACAAAACCACACTAAATAGCTGGTGCTTCGCGTACTTCTTTCATCAGCGGACACACTTTACCAGCTTCCTCGGATTCACGACTTTCCTTTGGTCTTGGAGGTAACCTGCTGCATTTGTGGTACATCCAATCGCAACGCAAAACGGCGTTGCTGTTTTTTACTGGATGAACGCACAATACCACATAGTTATCCTTCAAGTATTGACCAAAATCCTTCTCAAGTGACCTGAAGGATGAAAAGGATGCAGCCAGAAATTTCTCAACAAACCCGTGTGAAGCCAATTCCGAAGCTTTAGCAAAGCAAAAAGTCCAATGTGCGCCAAAAAATTTGAAACGATAAGTTTCGTAAACACACAAAAACACGACATCTCCTTACGGTAACACGGTATTTGATTCCGCTTTTCTGTTGCTCAACCAAATTTAACTGTAAATACGTTTCTGCCGCAAGTGGTCCGGCTGGTTGGAGCGTAGCCCAAACAACATGAAATTCGCGAATATATTTTGCGTTTCACGCATACTTATACACAACCAAATTAACCCAGGCTATTTTTGTCCGGAAGGTACTACGGTCTACTACGTGGAAGGAACCTTCTGTATTCACCGTAAGCGTAGCCCAAACAACATGAATTTCGCGAATATATTTTGCGTTTCACGCATACTTATACACAACCAAATTAACCCAGGCTATTTTTGTCCGGAAGGTACTACGGTCTACTACGTGGAAGGAACCTTCTGTATTCACCGTAAAAACATAATCGCTGCGTTTGTGTAAACCGTTCGAAGACTTGCATCCGTGGCATACACCATCAAAAGAAATCGTCCCATCTTGATCTATCCTTTCTTAATCACAGCCGCCTGCTTCCGTGCCCTTTCCACCTTTACTGTCCTTTCCACCTCTTAAGTAAAAATCGTTTCTTCACTCACTCAGACAAATCCACAAAGAGCTGCAACTGGCACAAACCCATTCTTCAGCCGATTAGACTCGGGCAAAACCTTCTCGTTCGGCTTTGGAACATTCCTTTCAAGCTTACCATATTCATTCGCTGGTTTAGCGTTTTAAACGGGTGACGGATTGGGCTTTCCTACTTCTCTTGCCCCATCCGTTTTGCACCTGATTCTTATATTAAAGTATGACTCATTTCAAAGATAATATTTTGTACTATTTTTGTGTATCAAATTGAACTTTCTGTCTGGTTAGCTTCTAGTACACGGATTTACTGATTGATGCACAGAATGGAGGCGACTGTCCAGGGTTCCCGGGTTGATTCTGTTTTTTCGTTAGGCGGCTGCCGCTCACCTGAAAGATACAAGTGAGAAAGGGTATAGCACTGCTCTCTCGGTTTTCGGCGCGGGGCGTTATGCTTGCCAGCGTGAGGACCCGCATAAATACCTGTCTATCAGTGCTTTGAACCGGGTGCTAGAAGGAGCGCGGACAGACAACGGAGGAAGGTCAGTCCATACAGCTACTACCCGAAAGGAATAAAAATTTACCGGTTGAGGTTCCCAATACGGAACTTTGGATGACGCGTAGGTCGAACTATGCCAAAGATCAAAAGAAAGGAGGACTGGGTTCGTAATTCTGCGGCACCGTTTACACAAGAGTAAGCAAGTGTGTATAAAAAACCTCAATTGTTCACGTCCGCAGCGTTAACAATTTCAGAGGTCTGTCACTGACCGGCACAGTGCAGTGTCAACACCCGCACACCAGACAACGGCGAGCGGAATGATGGCTCAGTAGCGTGGGTTGCTGCCGTTAGTTCCGACGACAGTTTTGTGATTCTAGTTGACCTTGCGATCACACGGAACTCGTGGGAGAACAAATGAAGGCAGGCTCAGGTACATGAACGAGCATGGGTAGTTCAGCAGCGCACATTCACACACACACACACACATGTCGACACACAAGTGTCGGACGGGACGGCCTCTGCGACAAGGTTAGTGGCGGGTATGAACAAGCGAAACAACTGGAGACCAAAAGTACACAGGCGGAGTAGGCAAATGAATAGGGGAACCATCATAAGGCCAAGTTAGATTCGACATTACCCAATGAAGTGCGCGCTCCGAGCTTCAAATCCTTTTAACCATATCACCGCTCTGTCTGCTGGGTCGACGGTAAAAAACCTACTGTCCAAACTTTTCTTAGACAGGGGGTAAGCAATAATTAGGTCATCCCGGAGACAACGATACACCAGGGGGAAGAATTCATGCACCGCATTGGATTTGGAAGTAGAGGATTTCAAATCGTTCGCAAAAAGTGAGCAGGGACTTGCAGGAACATCTGTAAGGTCGTTGACGTATATCAGAAGAAGCGGTGGTCCAGAAACGGAGCCCCGAGGGAACCCAATGGAGACCAGCACTGAAGAAGAGTAGGTCGGGCCTATTTTCACTCGGGATGACCTGTCCGATAGGGACACATTGATCCAATGTAGGATTTTCTCTTGAATCCGGCAAGACTCGGGTTTTCTTCCATTCTGGTCTAAATCCTTGGTGATGGGAGTCACATCTACGTCCAAATTAGCCATCACGCGAGCCCTGGTCCAAAATAAATAAATGAAGACCAGTCTTTGCCTTCCGTATCATATATTCTGCCTGTTTAAATGCTCCAAACAATCTTGGACATCGTTACATTTGTCGAGGTCAGCCAGCGAGGGGCGAAGCCACTTCCTCGCTTCATTTTTAGATGCGCTACCCTGAACCTGCGACAAGAATCGATAAACCAATAAACCGCGTTTATAAGCATTGGAATTCCTTCTCCTTTCTAGATCTGGACACTAAGCCTTCTCATCCCGCATTCTGACCAATCAGATCCCGACCTCTACTGGACCGCAGCTGGCTCCCCATCTTCCCAGCTAATCGGTTCTTCTAAGAGGCTATTAATACGATCCCGTCTGCTTCTGACCCTATAAATTCGCTGCCCTCCACTCAGAACGGTGAAAGCTCTTCTTGCACCTATTATGCGACTTCCCCCTACCAATTATATGATAAACTCAGGACGCACGAAAGACGTCACCCTCATTGAGCGTGTCCAGCGGGCCGCTACGAGAATGGTTGCCGGCCTCAAATCAGTGGACTACGAAACGCGTCTCGCGATGCTTGATCTCTTTCCCCTGGAGTACTGTCGCCTCCGAGGTGACCTAACTCTTACTTATGCACTGTTTGAACAAAGCTTGGCAAACAGGTTTTTCACCGTTGACCCAGCAAACACACGGCGGGGAAATAGTAAGAAAATTTTCAAGCTCAGAGCGCACACATTCATTAGACAAATTTTTCTCATTTCGGGTAGTAGCTGCGTGGAATGACCTTCCTCCGACGGTTGTCCACGCTCCTAGAACCCAGTTTAAAGCAGTTGTACATTTATTTATGCGAATCCTCGCGATTGCAAGCATACCGCCCCGCGCTGAGAACATAAAGAGCAGTGCTACACCCTTTTTTCACTTGTTCCTTTCAGGTGAACGACAGCCACTGACCGACAAGAACAAAACCGACCCGGGAAAATTGGGCAAAAGCCTCGATCCTGTGTACCAATCCATGAATCCGTGAACGCCGAGAAATCTGTTGTTGCTTCAATGTTCAACGAAGTATATAGACTTCCCTTATTATTAACGCTTCATCTGACGTGTTCTGTGCCCGCGGAACGCATACCAAACCCCGTATGGTAATGCATCCGAACACCGTATGGATTCCGAATTTCTGGGGGCGAGATAGCCCAATTGGTTAGAGCGCGAATTTACCGACCGGAAGGCTTGGGCAACCTGACAGTATCCCAGCCCTCGTGCTTCCTCTGGGTGGCATGGCAGCTAGGCACCGGAAGGGTGCTACAGCTGAACGATTTGTATTTTTGTCTGGTGATGCAGAAACGGTTCTACCCGGTTTTAGTGGTACAGGTGTTGCGCTGGGTGCAAAAGTGGGGGCGATTGCTTGATCTAGTTCCGGGAGCAGCTTGATTCACGGAGTCTGGTTCACCGAGTCCGTCATAGCTGGCAACCGATGATCCGAAATATCAAACCTTTTCGTTGCCTCGGCATATCCCCCCGGGTGCTGTGTAGTTGGAGCTTTGAGCGATGCTTTTCGTAGGGAACTCTCCGGACTATTTCATATGGTGGTGCGTAGATATTATCTGAATGACCAAGTGGGAGTAAGCTGCAAGGATATAATCCCTCACAGCAGCAGATTCGGTGCCGGGTGGACGATGGTGGAAGCTTCATACACCTGTGCAGTGACTACCTTACTTGTCGCGAGAATGAACTTTCAATATAAACTTTGCGCCCTACTGGTCGCAACTGCCCGACAACGTGGTAGTATGCCATGAACGGCAATCCTCGTGTTCCTCTTGGAACATGTGGTTCCACGCCACGGTTTGTGCCTCTTAAATCCCGTTTCCAAGACCAAGTTGGAGAACGTTCACCTCCTTTAGTATGCAGTATTTTAATTAGTATGGCAGGCTCTAACCAGAAGGCTAATAAAAATAAATGCAGAGAAAATCGTCCAGTTGTAACATCTTTTTTTTATGCCCCCTAGCTGCCACGTGATATTGCCAGGTTACCCGAACCATCGAGATACCGGGGTTGAGTTTGAGCCATTAAACTTCCGGTCAGTATGCCGGTGTGTTAACCACATGGTTTTCCATGCTATATAGGAATAGATAGCGTGTCATAAGCGATAATTCAGACCTCGACAACCCAAGTAGAGATAAGTTTTGATGAGTAATCCCACCTTACAAAGGTATGATTCTCAATGGAGGTGTCCACTAGTCGTCCAGATGTGACTACTGATATTGGTCTTGAGGAACAGATTAAAGTTAAAGGCGACCGGTTTGGTGCTTCAGCCCAGATTAGGGTAATTGAATTAGACGAGCACCGACTAAAGACTTTGCATCCGCCTTTAAACCAAGCTGGCTAGAGCATCTCATGACCAGCAGCTCTGTGAAACTTGAGGGACAAAATATATCCTTTTCCGAAGCTGTCTCTCCCCAGGGCTGTGTTGCGGGTTGGAAACCTGCTGAGCAACTGCAGGTGGCAGCTGGATTGTTGAAGATGTTCAACCCAACGATCAAGGTATTCTTTTTTATAGACACCCCGACCTAAAGCTGACACCTGGACGTGGTGGTCGGGCTTGAGTGCTGCTATGATCCCGCGGGCTACACTGGCTGGAACTTCATTCCACAAGGTACAACCACGCCAGGAAGGCCACAGGGGAGCAGCTAGACCCCGCACTACGAGTAATCGTGGTGCGACGCGGTCTGGGGGTAAAATCATACTGTCCTCTGCGACAGGAGTGTGAAGGCAGTAAGGTGTTTCCCCCAGGCGACCAGCATGTCCATATTTATGGAAATAGCGATGCTGCCTTCCCCCGAGGAAGGACGGGTCATAAAAGGTCGGCCCCAAAAACCGCACACTCCGATCGCCCAACGGTTGACCGTGACCGCTGGCGCATTATCCAATACGGTCGAAATCCTAAAGCCAAAGAGCCCGGTGCTGCTCGAAAGACACCTGCTGTGCGCGTCCGCATCAGGAATGAGACAGTAATGCCTTATTCCCTACGCCCTCGGGTCAGGCCAACCCCCTGCAGCCGACCAGGTCAGACTGTTGAGTCGTCGGCTCCGGGCAGGGTCCCCAAAGGAAACCCGACGTCCTCCCACTGCCTTGTGGGTCAGACATTTGAGTCAAAGGCTCAAGTTGGGGTACCTCAACCAAACCCCCTTCCTCGGCCTGGGCAACCGGGAAGTATCAGTTGCCCGCGCAGTTCAGCGTCCACCGATGTCCCTCCCCAACCCCTTCCCACTGCACAAGCAAACGTCGCTGGGCCATTTGACTGTCAGTCATCTGACCGAAGGGCCTTATGCTCCACGCTGCCTACAAACCTTAAACAAAATAACACCTTTCTATATCCACGAGATCCTTTCTATATAGGGGCTTTCAACTTCCGTACTCTATGTCAAATTGGCAAACAGGCAGTGCTTGCTGAAACCTTGTACTCCCTTGAAATTGATGTATGCTGTGTCTCCGAAACACGCATACAAGACCCGAGCGTGGTTCTGCATCTCAGAACGCCAAGGATGAACTCAGCTCTTTCACATTTCTCCCTCCGTGTGTCTGGTGACCCAGAAGCGATGACTCGTGGAATATATGGCGTGGGAGTTGCACTCAGCCCCAGAGCTGAACGCGCTTTGCTGGATTGGATCCCAGTGAACAGTCGTCTCTGCGCCGTCCGGTTATCCAGTTCCATCAAGATCAATGCTTCCCGGCATAAAAAGCGGTGCCTGTTTGTCGTGTCGGCCTATGCCCCAACGGACTGCAGTTCTGATGCGGAGAAGGATACTTTCTATCGAGAGCTATCCGGGCTCATTCGTCAGGCAAAAAGCACCGACACTGTGATTCTTGCAGGTGATATGGATGCTCAAGTAGGCCGTCTTAACTCTTTGGAATCACATTTGGGTGGTCGATTTGGAGTCAATGCTCGCCGCACAGACAATGCAGATAGACTCCTTCAGCTTTGTGCTGACCATGAATTGTTTCTGGCAAGTACGAACTTTCATCATAAACTTTCGCATCACGTAACCTGGTGGGCATCAACTGTAAATCAACCGTGGACCAGTTTGGCCACGTGGCCATCAGTCACCGGTGGAGAGCCACAATTCAAGACTTCCGTTCTTTCTGGGGCACACCACTTGATTCCGATCACACCATGGTGGATGCACGCCTGACAGTTCGCTTTCCTTCAGGCCCTCGCAAATTAGCAAGAAGCATGTTAACCCACTATCTTCGAAGAACGACGATAGCTCAACATTATCGATCTGAGCTAGCCCAACAATTCACGGTAAACCAATACTGTGGTGGCAGTGAGCATGTGGATGAAGCGTAGCAAAATATAAAAGGAGCTATGTTAGCGAAGTTCAGTGCTGTCTGTCCAACCACTCTGATTCGACCGCAAGACCACTGGATATTGGCGAAATCGCTATCCATGATCGATGCGAGGAAATCGATACCAGCAGGCAACACGTATGACGGCTCACACAAATCCCTCAAACACCAAATATTGAAGACCCTAAGGAAAGACCAAGAGGAAGAGGTTGTATTGATCATATGTTCACCCTCCGACAGATTCTGAAACAGCGACACTGCTTCCAGCAACCAACAATGGTTGTGTTTCTTGATCTGAAAGCTGCCTCTGACTCTGTGGACTGTCAGGCACTATGGCAGTGTCTGTGTCTGTCGTAGATTCTTGACCCTCATTAAGACGCTGTACGCCAACTCCCGAGGCCGTGTGAAGGTCTGCGGGAAGCTCTCGCCTGAGGCCACCACATCAAGTGGTGTCCGACAGAGCTGTACTCTTCCACCATTCCTCTTCAGCTTCGCCGTTGATGCGATCATTGGTACGATATCAGCCTCTAATGCCCGTGGGATCAATGTGCTCCCGGGGCGTCCGCTCACAGATATCGAGTACGCAAACGACAGCTCTTCTTGGATCTGACCCCGTGGTAATGCAAACAATATTAAATAATCTAAGTAATTCTTCCTCACGGTTCGACGTGCGCTTCACACCTGCAAAGTGCGAAATGTTACTGCAACACTGGGTGGGCTCGGACTATAGTCTCGTGCTTGCGGATGGGCCGAATGAGGCAGTAGACACATTTGTTTACCTGGACAGCCGTATCAGTCCCGGTGATCTCACAAAAGATGATGTTTTCATCCGGATTGGGAAGGCCAGAGCAGCTTTTGTGAATCTATGTCACCTGTGGCGTAGACGTAATATCAGTTTCTCAGTTAAGGGTCGAGTTTACGATACTACGGTGCTCCACATTACTGTATGGATCAGAAACATGACCGCTGCGCGTCGAGGACGTCGAAAGATTTTCAGTGTTTGACCGTCGATGTCTTCGAGGCATTGCCCGAATCTGGTGAGAACATTGGATCAGCGATGCTGAAGTACGTCGAATGGCATTCCGGAGAAATAACTCACCCTCGATAGATGAACTGATCATATTGCATAGGTTGCTCTGGCTTGGCCACGTGCTGCATATGCCAGTCGTCCGAGTTTCTCAAAGGGCTTCTTTCGTACAGCCATGTGAAGGGTGGGAGAGGGCCAGAAGCCGTCAAACAATGACTTGGCATCGGAGTATGAAAGCCATTACCAGCAAACTCGGTTGCGCTGGTCATTGCCGTCTTCCCGGATGGGGACCCCGAGACGGGCCATATCAATGGTTAGAGACATTGTCAGAAATCACCATCATCATCATTGTCAGCTGTAAGAACCGCGTACTCGTCGTACACTGGTTGTAGCTGCCACAGAAATGGCCCAGTCGCGCCCCCAATTGCGCTCATGCACCCAAGCTATTGCCTTCAATGCATAGCTCCCTTTTCAACACCCCACTTAACACTCCACATACAGTGCTGTATTTATGCACTAATTTATCAGCTGCCGCCTCCAATGCACAGCTCCCTCCCCCCCCCCCCGAATCATCGGTGAACTAAACTGTGGCAGCTACAACCACGTACGGCAAGTACGCGGTTATTACGGAATGCAGTCATCGAAGAAGTCTATCTGCAGCAGGTATCTGGACAATCTGCGGATGTGAAGCAAGTGAAGACTGGCTCGAAGTCCGAAACTGTGTGAAGTTGTCGTTTGTGCGCTTTCTAAATCGAGACCACGGTCCAAATCAATCTGCATATTACAGCGATCCATATCCCTGATTGAGACGAGGAAGGTGGTCCCACCGGGATGTCAATACGGTACAGTAAGATATATCTAAGATGACGCCTCACCCATAGTGTCAAGACCAACGGAGATAAGTGGTGTCTAAATAAACCTGAAGAAGTGGGAGAGGCGGTGGTGATTAGAAATAGTCGAACTCTATTCCAACACCGAGTTAAGAAGCCTATCTATCGGCGAAGTCATTGCAGCGGAAGGCAGCCCAAAAGTTCATATTTTGTGGACGGGGTGTTATGAAAAACACTTCGGTCGGTCTAAAGCGTTCAGCATAATGTTTAACGCAATAACAGCTTCATGATACTTTTGAACTCCCCGGTCTTAGCACAAGGTGAAATCACTGACGGAATCATGCTCTTAAAGCGAAACAAAGCACCCAGTCTTTGCAATCTTCCGCCTGCACTGTTCAAGTCATCATCATCGACAGACAGCCATCAGTGTTCAACACC